CGTGCATTTGATGCCTTAATATTATCCCAATTATGCTTTCTTGATTTTAAGTGTCTTTTTAATTGAGCAACTGACCTGAAAGCAAATTAAGGAAAAAATAAAGTTGAAAATAAACAGTAGAAAGTAAAAGATCAGAATAATAAAAAAAATGTTAATTTTTTTTTATAAACATTTAAAAGAATTAGTAAGAAAATAAAAATCTAATCAGTATAACTCTCCACACTTACTCTACACACTTACTCTACACACTTACTCTACACACTTACTCTACACACTTACTCTGCACACTTACTCTACACACTTCAATCAACTTTATGCCTTGATTCTTTTTTTCTTCTCTTTTTACAAATATTTGAAAAAATCATATATTTCTAACTAAGGGGCTGTTCAAATTATAAGTGACTTAGGCCAAAGGGGTATCAAAAAGTGTCAATAAATGTCACATTTTTAGAGCCAACACCATACCCCTGGACTACTTTACTACTTTATGTAATACTTGAAGAGGCATGATATGGAAACCTCCAAACCTGCCCTACTCCACGGAGCCTGGTATGGAGGCTTCCATATCAAGGAGGTTGGGAGAAGGAAAAAGTGGTATAAATGGTTGGGCCCAAACTAACGGTCGGTACAGCACTGGAAATAGAGATATATCTTGTTTACTTCCATTGGCACTTCATCTTCAATAACTAAACTTGGCACATGATTCTTGCTTATTCTTTTATCTTTAACCGTAAGTAGCTTTACAAAAAAATTATTAATAATTTAATCAACAAAACATTTCTCTACTTTACAATGCCATTATGTAGAGGGTGAGCACTTTCTATTTAACCTGTTCAATTTGTAATGTTTCACTTTCTTGCTTGTTTATCTTTTCGAGCCCTTCAATTTCTGTTTTCCCTCTTCTATTACCTGCAATCAAAATAGTTACTTTTTGTAATTAAAAAAATGTCATCATTTTATCATCATCATCATCATCATCATCATCATCATCATCATCATCATCATCATCATCATCATTCCAAACTTAATCACACAATTAATAATAAAATGAATGGCATAACTCTCCTTTTTTAAATAGAGTACTCGTTTCTAAAGTAAAAATAATAATGTCATACATACAAAAAAATTAAATTAAAAAGATTTAAATGAAAAGAAAGCGTATAAACTACTTTTATAAATTAACAAACAGTAATAAATTACCAAAAAAATCTATATCATCATCTGAAAATTAATCAACAGCTCAGTTGTTCTGAAATGAAAAAAGAAAAAAAAATTATAAAAAATAATTAAAAAAATATATTATAGATTCTAAAAGTAACAAAAAATTATTAAAAAAATTACTAAAAAAATTATTATTAACATATAACAAGTCTTTCCCCCTAAACCATTTTTCGTAAATAGTTGCAAAATGCTGCAAATTCCACCAATTAAAATTAATTTATTAAATATAAGCAGTAGAACCCATAAAAAAGTAATATACTAATTTTTAATATTCAAACTCTACAAAGAACAACAAACAAATGACTTCTTTCTAAGGTGTGCAGGTCAAGAAATACTTTTGGTTTATAAATAATGATGATATGATAAAAAAATTACAAATTAACCTTTGTAAAGAGTAAGTACTTAACAATACTTCAGCCTAAAATGTAGTTGATATGATAAATGTATTATAAATTATATATATATATATAAATATATATATATATATATATATATATATATATATATATATATATATATATATATATATATATATATATATATATATATAAATATATATATATATATAAATATATATATATATATATATAAATATATATATATATATATAAATATATATATATATATATATATATATATATATATATATATATATATATATATATATATATATACATACTTCAGCCTAAAATGTAGTTGATATGATAAATGTATTATAAATTATATATATATATATATATATATATATATATATATATATATATATATATATATATATATATATATATATATATATATATATATATGTGTGTATATATATATATACAAATATAGTATATGCATATAGTATATACATATGCGTATATTGTACGCATATGTATATATACGCATAGTATATGTTGTATGGATAGATTTTAATTCATTAAAGGCATACTTTAATTCTTGAAATTCCTTCCATTTTTGCAAAGAGATACAGTATTGCTTCAGAAAGCAACACTTTAAATGTATAATCACTAGTCTAAACAGAAAGTTATTTTTCAAAAGAGTTACACATGCTGAAACTTTTTTGTATTTCAACATAAAATCTGAAGAAAAACCTATGACCTTTTTATATTGAGAAGATTTATGATTTATTTATGATATTTTATTAATTATAGTACTAAAAAACATAAGAACTTACATCATTAGGTAATATTATTATCTCAAACTTTGAGATATTAATATTACCTTTAATACCAATTACCAATACCTTTGAACAAACCTTTGAATTTTGTCAAAGGTATTATTAATTAGTATAATTACTAAGAATTACCTAAATACTATACAAGGTACTATATTTTATGTATGTTATGTATTCTACATCAGTGATTGATGTAGACTACATTGTATACATATGATGTACATACAGTAAATGTAAATCATATGTATGTAATGGCATATGCCTTTAACATATCATATGAATATAATGTGTGTATAAAACACAAATATACACAATGCCTTTAACATATCATATGTATATAATGTGTGCATCAAACACAAATGTTTATCAAACACAAAAAATATCAAACACTAAATTACTAATGTGTGAAAAAATGTTTATCAAACACAAAAAATATCAAACACTAAATTACTAATGTGTGCTTGATACACACATTACATACATATGATATGCTAAAGGCATTGTGACAATAATAAATTTGATTCAAAGGTATTGTGTCAGTGAGATCTCAAAGTTTGAGATCCTCACTGATGTAAGTTCTATGTTGTTTTAGTACTATAACTAATGAAACATTACTGTATTTTTAAGTAATTTATTAATTAGTATAATTAGCCAAAACAAAGTTTAATAACATTTTAATAACAAATTAAGTACTACCTGAGGTACCAATAAATATTTATTGTAGATAATAAAGTTTGATAATAAAGTTAGATTATCTTAATCTAAGTCTATTACTAACAGAGACTAGAGTTAGCTAACTTTACCATCAATCTTAATTAATTAATGTATCCCCAATATTATTATTTGAATTATTTTAAATATGATTGCATACATGTTCAACATTATTATTATTTATTAATATGTTATTGTTCTAACTATATTTTAATCTAAATTTATTACTATATCAATCTTAATCAAACGTCCCACTAATACATTAAACTCTGCCATTTTTAAATTTGCCAATTTGCTCGCTTACACATTAATCCTATAAAATCAAAGTTTTACGCCGAATGCCCTCATGTTACTATTTAGCGTAATATGCGGGCTATTTTTGCCCTCATGCTACGGATTTTTCGTAACATGAGGGCAAACTTGTAACATAAGGGCATTTTGCGTAACATAAGGGCATTCTGTGTAACTTGAGGGCGAAATTTCGTAGCCCTAGGGCATGCAATTGGCAGCATGAGGGCAGTGAATACTACTACTACTACTTCTACTACTACTACTACTACTACTACTACTACTACTACTACTACTACTACTACTACTACTACTACTACTACAGGCTTTCACAGGAAGACGTGCGATTTCACGTCTTTATATGTCCACGCAAGTTACATTTTGCTATGACGGTTTGACTGCGGCTAATTCAAAAAACATTTTAGAAATGCGCTAAATATTCTAAAAAAGTGAAATTAATTACTCCAAAACTTCTTAACGAATGTTTTATATTAGCGAAATGATTTTAAATAAAGTAACAATGTACTGAAAAAAAGTTTTGTTTTTTGAATATAATTGACAGTTGTATATATTTTTTTAATTTAAGTGTTCATTTCTAAAATAAAAATTGTTTTGTTTTTATAAAAGATGACATTCTACGGCTACGGAAGTCTCTTTAACGAATTTAAATATAAGAATGATTGAAGTTAATGCATTTAAAAAGATAAACAAAATTTCGTTAAAAAAAAAAGTTTTAGAAAACCGTTACAATTTAATAAGTTTGATCTTAATTGCTTTTATATTATCAAAACGTTTTTAATGAAATAAAAAAAAAAGCACTTCTAATTAATTTTAAAAAAAGTACTAATAAAATATTTTTTTATTTTATTTATATAACTATGTATTTTTTATGAGAAATATTTAACTTTTGAACATATTAAATAAATAAAAAATATATAAAAATGTTGAAACAAAGATTGAAAAGGTTTTTTTATGTGTAAATTAAATAGATTAAGCATTTTAGTTTAATGAGTTTTGTTTTAGTTGCGTTATATATATATATATATATATATGTATATATATATATATATATATATATATATATATATATATATATATATATATATATATATATATATATATATTTATTTTTTTGTGTTTTTGCTTTAACTAAGTATTTTTTTTATTTTCTCTTTTGTTAATATTTATTATTTTTTTAAATTTTTTTTTCAGATGAGTAAAGGTAAGTTTTTGTAGCGCGTTTTTAAATTTTAAAAATATGCCGTGGTCAAATCGTTAAAACATTTTTTTTTTTCGTGGTCATATAAAGACGTGAAATTGCACATCTTCCTGTGAAAGCCTGTACTACTACTACTACTACTACTACTACTACTACTACTACTACTACTACTACTACTACTACTACTACTACTACTACTACTACTACTACTACTACTGCTACTACTACTATTAAGTTCAGCATTAACCTTTGTAATCTATGTTTTGAATAATTTTTTTAATGTAAAGTTAAAGCATTTTGTTTGTTTGTTGGCATTTTCACACCAATTACATCAACTTTATGTCAAATTAGGTATGAGAGTTAGTTTTGCTTCTTTTTTAGTTATTTTCAAAAGAAGTTTTATTGCATTCCAGTTTACCATTTCTAAGTGAGGCATCTGTTTGTAAGTTTGCAAATAAGTATATAGCAATTGGCTTTCAAAATGGTGACATCAAGGTATTGTTGTTTAAATTTTTAAATTGTTATATTTTGTATTGTTATTTACTATGATTTAGTTAGTAATGTTTTGTTGTCTACACTTCTTTATTGTTATCACTTCTTTACTGTTATCACTTCTTTATTCTTGTCACTTCTTTATTCTTATCACTTCTTTATTCTTGTCACTTCTTTTTTCTTGTCAATTTTTTATTCTTGTCACTTCTCTATTCTCGTCACTTCTTTATTCTTGATTACAATGTAATGTATTTATAACTTGATATTTTTTGATAATTGAAAACATTCTAACACGATCAATATAAACTTTTATTACATATTTATGTTTTTTTGTTTAACTTTTTTAGATTTTAAACTGGGAAGATCTTTCTGAAAAGTTTGATTTCAGGCTTCATTCATTAAAAGTGTCATGTATGTCTTCTTCTAATGATAAACTAGTAGTTGGCTCTGAAGATCATTGCTGCTCTGCAAGTTTATTTTTTTAATTTTGTTGTTGTTTTTTAGAGATAAATTAATGAAATAAGTTAAATAATTATTTCCGTTAATAAAAAGTTTTTTATTGTTGGGAGTAGAATTTACAAGTTTTTTGTTGTGTCCAATGAATCTTGCTTTTACTAATTACAATGTGCACTTGATATTAAGATTTTTTAAATTTTGGAACATTTTTAAACATATTTTAACATATGGTCAATATAAATAAACATGGTTATATTGCTGTATTTATAAAGTTATAAAGAACATAATTAAAAGTTACCATTATTTTGTTTGAAAATTTTCATACATAAAAATAGATAATTAATAATTTAATTGAAAGACTAATAAAAAAGGTAAAAGAGTAAAAGTGTTCCGTCCACACTTTTACCCATTTCAGGTGTTTACTTAAGTATTTTACTATTTGTGTCCTTGAAATAACTTTTTTTACTTTGCAAACAGTGTTTTTGTTATATTAGTTAAGTTTACAGAAGTTGAGTGAGTTTTTAAACATTGCTTACAATTTTTTTTTATGAGTAGATTTTTTTAATGATATACTGTTGTTACATGTTATAATTGTTTCTAACCAAACCTATTTTAATATGATCCAAAATATAATACAAAAAATAATGACATAATTTTGTATTTTATTTACAAATAGTCAAATATTTATCTGCTACATTGAACTTACTTTAATCCATCAGCCAATTTGCACTTTTGCATGGTTTTTTTAAAGTGGATACACTAATTTTTCGCTTAGGTCATTAGAAAAGTTCTTTGATCTATAAAGTTATTAAATATTTATATACCATCTTAAATTGTATTTGATTATTAACTTTTTGAAATATTTTGATTGTGTATTTAAAAAATTGAGTTTTATTAAACACGTTTAAAAAAAAAATTTTAAAATGGAAAAATTCAAATATCAAATATGTATTAAAACCCATGTTCTACTTAGAGCTTCAGCATAAACCATGACCGATAAATTGATTTTAATTCATGATAAAATTGAAGCCTTTACATCGATTAATCGTTTTACAATCAACAAAATCATTCACAACGCTCTTAAAAAATAAAAACTAACATTAAATTGGATACCCCACAAATAAGCCTATCAAAATTGCAAGAATAGAGTTGAGACATGTAAGAAAAATTAAGCACTGTTCATAAACAGCCTAAAGAGACTAATTTCATGTGATATATGTGATATGTGATATTATTACAGAGGATGAATTGTTGCTTTATTTGAGACAAGTTGGACACAAGTCAGCTAATGCTAGTTGGGTTGGTGAAGGTGAAAGTTTAAGAACTATTGTACGTTGCAACAGATTTGAGCCAAAAAAACATGATCTAAATTTTTTTCAAAACAACAAGTGTTGTTCATTTGGGTTATGTTGAAAAAAGAGACACCATTAGGGATTGTCCATAAATTACGTAATGCAAACTTTCACAATTACCCAAAAAAAATAGATAAAAAGTTTTCGCTTGCAGAGTCTTAATTTAAATAAAAAATAAAAATAGCCCATTAAGTTTAATGAAATCCGCCACATAAAAGATATATCTCCATATCTCCTATTTCTGTTTTTTAAATATATTTTGCATTGCGTAATTTATGGATGATCCCTTACTAGTTAATATTATACAGTGGTTTTCATAAATTTAGACGCACTCATATTTGAGAATAGAAATTTTTAGTTTTTCAACGATAAAACAATGACGAATAAAGATTTTGGTTTAGTTTTTTTTCTATTTATTAGATAAATACATACAGAATACAAAATTTAAAAAAAGTTTACAAAAAAAATAAAATACTAAGTAATAATTAGGTACAACTACATGGTATTAAAAAAATTAGACACAAAAAATTGTTCATAAATTTAGACGCACGATACATTAGAAGGCGTAATTTATGAACCAATCAATATTTTGTGTATCCGCCTTTTGCTTTAATACAACTAAGAACTCTTCTAGGCAAAGACTCAACAAAATTTTTGTACATGGCTTCTGGGACCCCATACCAGGTCTCCTTAAGGAATTCCTTCAGCTGAGTAAGTGCGGAAATTTGAACCTTTGCTAATTCACGGTCAATCCAAGCCCAAATGTTTTCAATCGGGTTTAAATCAGGTGAGTATAAAGGCCACGGTATTGTCATGATACTATTATCGTTGAACCACTCCTTTGTATAGTATGCAGTATGTGCAGTAGCGCCATCTTGTTGAAGTTTCCATGGTTTATCATTGAGCATAAGCAGGTCAATTGATGGAATTAAGTTGTTTTCCAGTACTTATATGTATATTCTGGAGTTGATTCTTCCGGTGTATGTTTGGCACATACCAACACCTTTGTAATTGAAGCATGACCAGATTCCTATCGAGCCTCCTCCACTTTGTACAGTCGGTCTAATGTACCTGGCGTAATACTTTTCATGAGCCATTCTTTTGACTGTTATGTTAGATTTGCGATTGATAAGCTCAAAGTTACTCTCATCACTCCACATAATGTTTTCCTATTGTTCTATTGTCCAATACCTTCTTTCACGACACCAATTTAGTCTCCTTTGTTTATTATATGGACGCAGAAGCGGTTTCTTCAAAACAGTGTAGACTCCAATTTTGTATTTGATAAGTATTTGGCGGACTGTGCTTTGAGAAATAGATGTATTTCGCGTTGTATTGAATTCTGTGGTTGATTCTTTGTAACTAATTCTTGGATTAGCTCTGACAGCTCTAAAATGAACACTATCGTCCTTTCTGGTGGTTGACAAGGGTCTACCTGGCCTCGTTTTCTCGCTGGCACCACCAGTGTGAAGAAAGTTTTGTTTCATTGTCTGAACGCATTTCTTAGAAACTCCAATTAACTTGGCGATTTTTCTATTACTTTTGGTTCCTTCTTTGATGTGCGCAATAATTTGCCATCTTTCACCTTGAGTGATACGTTTTTTGCCCATTTTTCGCGTCTTTTTAGTGCAAAACTAACTTAACTTTTGTTTATTTATTAAATAATGATTAACTAATTCCAGGTAAGTCATATTTATATAAGGTTTTTTGACAAAATCAATTACTTTAGGCCTATTAATGAGAAATATGGGGAAAAAACTACTAATTAACTATCAATTAACAAGATATAAGACTTTTTTGGTTGTGCGTCTAAATTTATGAACAAAATAAAATCAAGCTTATCAATTAACTATTTTGTGTTAACCGGTATAGAATGAGTAATAAACATCCTGTAAAAAAAAAATTAAGGTACTCATAAATAGAGTTTCACTTCCTCTTGTAAATTATATATCAAACATAGCGGTAGTACTTTTATTTTATTTTTATTTTGAGTATTTTCTTACATATATGAAAATAAAATGAATGCGTCTAAATTTATGAAAGCTACTGTATAAGATTGTTCGAAACCTTTTCTTTTTTTTTAATTTTTAAATTATTCACCTCCCCAAGGCCGAAAAGGCCGCTACAACCAAGGAGGCTACTTTTTGTAGTTAAAACCCTCTCTCAATTCTATAACTTCGAAACATGAACCTCAACAAACAAAGCAGCTGTGCGGAAAAACAAGTTGGGCGCGATACTACCAGGGAAGTGGTGTGGATCAAATTAGGATCTTTTCACTTATGAGACGAGCGCTCTACCACTGCAACACTACGGTATTTTTTTTCAATTTAAAAGAATAACATAAATTGTTAAGAAAAAAAAAAAAAAACGAAATCTCTTCAACAAAATTTATGTACAAACTTTATGTACAATACAATATCTTATTAAAAAAAAAAAAATAAAAGTTTCATAAAGTATCATTTAAGAAAAAAATAATTTATTATATACAATTACTATATATATATACAAAATAACAAAACAAAATATAAAAAGAAAAATATATTTATATTTACAAAAAATATTAAACTACATTAGTTAAAATAAAACTAACAGACTTATAAAAATATTAATTATAGATGTAGCGTAATGTTTTTTCACTTCTCTCTCCCCTCATGTTTCCTAAGAAAACCACTTTCCCAAAGAAAGGAGGGAGGAACCTCTACCCCAAATTTGTGTGTCTAATAGGATTCTAGCTATTTATTCTGCGATATGCTAAAAAAGCTTGTAAGATAAATCTAAATTGAAAAAAAAAAAAAAAACCATGATATGGTAAAAAAAGTAAAGGCACCACTCATAAATATTAAATTTTAAATCATTAGGTTATTTAAATTAAAACCATATTTTAGACAGTAGAATAAGTAAACTAAATAATAATTGGTTATCATTAGTTTACTTTGCCAAAGTTACCACCAAAGTAGAACCAAAGAAATAAAATGACAATAATAAAAAGTAGAAATGTTTGTATTACATAATCTTTGTAGTAAAACATGAGATATAACCATACCATCTTGATTATAATGATTATAATCCTACCATCTTGAGACAACCCAACCATCTTAAGATAACCCTTCCATCTTAGTATAACCCTACCCTCTTGATATAATAAAGGTGTGGAAATAACTGTAAAAATAAAAAAGTATATAAAAATAAAAGAGAAAAGAATATAATAAAAAGTTTTTAATTTTTAAACAAAATATAAAAAAAATTGTTATTCAACGTATAATCCAACTAACTAAAAACATAAAAATTTTATAAATTTTACTTCGATATCTTTTTACTCACGCACTTTTCAAACTTTTTTAATATTTATTGATGAAAAATGATATATATGAGAAATGTTTATTAGGTTAAGTATACTATTAGGAAAAAATCAAACTGATGGCGACTCTATTTGAATCAGCCAAGTGATGATGGCTCTATTTGAATCATCCAACTGATAACGACTCTATATGAATCCACCAACTTATGGGGCGTCATAAGTTTATATTAAATAAAGAAAAGATTTATTTATGTACAAAGTTTTATTTACAGAAAATATTGTTTATTTTGCTTGGACTATTAGATAATGTACTGAGTACTACTCTGAGTGCTTTAAGCCAGGTTTTTAACCAATTTAAAAAATGACTAAAGAATCAAAAACTATAAAACACAAAAAACTACCATCACTAAGTTCTCTTAATCTATCATTCACTAATGTTTGTAGTCTTCGAAGTAACTTTTCTTCTGTTGAGTCTTATCTTTTGCAGATATTACCAGACCTACTTGCTCTTTGACTAATTTGAGTTCAGCTGTCTCATCTTGTGATCTTAGTGTTAATGGTTATCTTCCTTTAATTCTGAAAGACTCCAATAGTCACATGCTCGACCTGAGGATTTACATTCATAAGAATTCATCCACTTGTCTGAAAAATAGATTTGAGTCCACAGGCTGTTATGTGCTTTTGTTTAGCACCACTTCACTCTATAACCTTTTTCATTGTTCTATATTGCTCACCTTCATCCCAAGACTGCACTCTTCGATATTATTTCTGATCCAATTGACCAAGCCCTTTCTCTTTATCCTTCAGCCATTATTGTTGTTGTTGGTGAGTTCATACTTATCACACTAAATGGCTTGGCTCTAGTGTCAGTGACTCTGCAGGCATTTAGGCTCACAACTTTTGTCTTTCTCAATTTTTAACACAAGTAGTCAACTTTCCAACTCGCTTTTCCAACAATCTGAATCATTTGCCTTCTCAACTCGAATTGTGCCTTGTGTCTAATGCTAATTTTGCAATGAATTTGATATATGGTTTCCAAGTAAGAATAGAATCCTGAGCAAGAAAGTGTCGAGCTCGATAAAGAGATGCAACTTTAGCAGATGCTAATTTTGCAATGAATTTGATATATAGTTTCCAAGTAAGATCAGAAGTAAGAGTTAATCCTAGAAGATGAAGGGTAGATGACTCATCAAGTACATTACCATTCATAAATATAAGAAGGTCTAAATTATTGCAATAACGATTGGCTGAAAATAATTGAGTTTTATCTGAATTAGATTTCTTCAACCACTGTAAACCCCATGCTGTAGCAGAAGTGGGATTCTTTTCAAGCTCAAATGCCCCCTCCAAGCAATCAGAGGGAGTTAGCTTCTTATCATAACAAGAATAAACAGTAGTATCATCAGCGAACAATGCCACCTTAGATGTGAGAACATCTGTAAGATCGTTAATGTAAATTATAAAGAGTATAGGGCAAAGGATTGAACCTTGAGGAACCCCTGAGGTTACAGAATAAGAAGAAGAGTGCTGTGCATCAAGGACAGTTTTTATATTACGATTAGAAATGAAGGAATCAATAATCTTAAAGATGTTTCCAGATACACCGTAAGAAGAAAGCTTATGGAGAAGACCAGCATGCTAAATTTTATCAAACGCTTTAGATATGTCAAGAGTGATGGCCTTAACCTCTCCACTTTTATCTAATGCGCAATAAAACCTATCGGTTATTAATGATAGCAAATCAGCCGTAGAACGAGAAGATCGAAATCCATATTGATGATCAGAAAGTAAGTTATTAGATTCAAGATGAGAGATTAAGTGTTTGTTAATTAAAGATTCAAAAGAACTCGCTTACCTTGCTTATGATAGGAAGAAGACTAATGGGACAGTAGTTAGATGAATCAGATCGCTCTCCAGAATTTTTAAAAATAGGGATAACAGATACTGTTTTCCAGCAGGCTGGAAAACAAGACTCTGATAAACATTTGTTAAATAGTTTTGAAAGTATAGACGACAGCTCCAGAGAACACTTCTGCAAGACTATAACAGGTATGTTGTCCGGGCCACAAGCTGTAGAAAAGTCTAAGTAGAAAATCTTTTTAGATACAGAAGCTGGAGTGATACGAATGTCAAGCAATGGATCAACCTTTTTGTTGGCTATATCAGGTAGAATGCAACTAGTGGAATCGAGAGATGATCTTGATGTTAAAAAGTTCTTAGCAAACAATTCAACTTTGTCTTTAGGTTAGGTGACAAAGTCTGAACCATACAAAAGAGGTGAAATAAAAGACTTGCCCTTGTTATTGATACTATTAAAGATTCTCCAGAAGTCACGAGAGCCTAATTTTTGTGATGAAATATGAGATTTCATGACCTGAGAATAAAGGGCTTTGGCGTTAGACAAATTCTTTTTACAATGGTTCCTACCAGTAATAAACAGACGTATTGTATTGCTGATAGATATAGAAGTAATGGTTTCAATCGGCAATTGCAGCAGCACAATGTGAGGAAAAACATGGAGAAGAGTGAGGCTTGACCTGGAATCGTTGAGAGGGAATAAAAGATTCCATGCCAGCCTGAATCCATGAAGTTATGTAAGAAGCACATTTGTCAACAGGAAGACAAAAGATTTCTACCCAAGGGCCATCACGAAGAAAATCACAGAAAGAGTATAAGTCAGCTTTAAGGTAGTTGTAAGATGTACGATGATAGGGGGATTCTGATGATAAAGAAGAATGAGATAATAGTTTTAGAGAAATCAAACTGAGATTAGAGGCACTTAAGGGTGAATGTGGAGTAACTGAGCACTGACTAGGATCAGAAACAAGACATATGTCGAGTAGAGAAGGTAAATGATTCAGGTTATCTGGAAAGTGAGTTGCAAAGTTGACTATTTGAGTTAGGGATTGAGAAAGGCAAAAGTTGTGGGTTTTAATGCCTGCAGAGTCACTGACACTAGAGCTAAGCTTTTCAGTGTGATGAATATTAAAGTCACCAACAATAGCAATATTGACTGACAGATAAAGAGATAGGACTTGGTCAATATGATCAGAAATAACATCAAGAAGAGTGCAGTCTTGATGAAGGAGAGCGATATAGAACAAAGAAAAAGGTGATAGAGTGAAATAGTGCTTAATGAAAGCACATAAAAGAGTAGTCTGTGGATTCAAACCTAATTTCCCGACAATTGGGTGAATTCTTACAAATGTAAATGCCCAGGCCAAGCATGTTACTATTGGAGTCTTAAAATTACAAATTAAAGGAAGATAACCATCAACACTAAGATCACAAGATGAGACAGCTGAACTCAAATTAGTCTCACAGAGAGCGAGTAGGTCTGGTGAACTTTGCAAGAGATAAGACACAACAGAAAAAAAGTTTCTTCGAAGACCACGAATATTAGTGAATGATAGGTTTAGCAAACTTGATGATGACAGTGGTTTTTTTGAGTTTTATAGTTTTTGTTACATTATTCATTTTTAAATTTGTTAAAGAACTTGACTCGAAACATAGTTAGTCCTCAGTACACTGTTTAATAGCCCAAGCAATTGCCTCTTACTATTAATAAACCCTACGCTGTAACAAAGGGCTCCATGTGGCCTTGACAATGCACATCAAAAGTACATACAGGGACACCATTCATGCGCAACATGGCACTGTTAGTACTTTGATATTTTTCAGCTGTTGATAGAATCAGCCTTTCTGAGAGCTACCACAAAGTTCGGGAAACTTGACTACCAGCCGGCCTCAGAACCATAAAACTGAGTTTTAGAGCTGTACCCTCTTTAGGAGATAATAGAAGGAATTGCCTAGTCATAAAAACTGAAACACAAGCATAACCCATGCATCGAGTCAAGAAGATCCAGCATGTAACATCCTAAACTGGAAACAATGTATTAAAAATACATCTGTGCCAGCCTAATAGATGAAGAAGGGGTGCGAGACTGGTCAACAGATAAAATCTGTTTACCCCTTAAGTCTTTGCCTAGGAGGCCTTCTACAAGACAGCAGCCGGATGCATGTAACATCTGCCCAAAATGAGTATTTTTGTCGAGACACTATTTCTAGCCTTTACTCAACCAAGAGCCTCAAGGCAGCAGGTGTTTTATGTTGGATTTGGCATCTCCTAGCCTTTGCCTAAAAAGATGTATCCTACAAGGCAGCAGAACATATAGCAGATTGTACTGGGTTACATGTTACCAGTAGCAGGATAAACCTGGCTTAAGAACAACTTGAGTGACTTAATTCGCAAATAATATGTTACATCAGACTATTCACATATGCAACAATGTTTGTATAACCTTGTCTGTCTAGATTGGTGTTTTTATATAGAGAATTAATAGAGAAATGGAAAATTATATCTAACCTGCTGGGGGGGAGGTAAAAGTAAAAAATGGAAAAAATTAAAAATTAAAATAAAAGAATTGTTGTTTATTTACAAAAAAAGAATTTCTTTCACATTGTCTTTGATTTACATTATTGTTCCTGTTTTTTTTGTTGTTTTTTTAAATAAATTATGCTGTTATATAATAGGTTTGGAATTAAATTATGCTGTTGTATAATAGGTTTGGAATTAAATTATGCTGTTGTATAATAGGTTTGGAATTTGGAAAATGGTTGTTTAGTCACTCAGTTTAAAGGTCATGAAAATTTTGTGACAAAATGTGCTTTTTTGAATGAATCTGCTAGAGTTGTATCATCTTCCTTTGATGGCAAACTGAAGGTAGTTTTAAAATGTGTAGATTTCTTAGTTTTTTATTAATAAAAAACAGAAAAAAAAATTTGGATTTTTTTCTTCTTAGATTTGGTGTTCTCAAACTGGATCAGTTTTTTCAACTTTACATGAGGACAAAGATGCTGTGATGTCATTTTTTGTTTCTGAAGAAAAGAATCTCCTTTGCCTTTGTTCTGCAAATGGTTCATTTAAAGTGTGTTTATGAAAAGCATTTTTTAAGTGAAGAAGAATGAAGTGAATAAGTTGGTTTATTTTGAATTTTTTTTCCTTTTATAAAAAATTGTTTCAATTAGATGTTTTATAGGTATGGTCAATTTCAGACTGCGTTTTAAAACTAACAATTAATGATCATAAGGATGTTATTCGGTGTATTGAATGCTCTAATGATGGAACCATGATTGCATCTGGATCTGATGATGGATCAGTGAAGGTTTGTTTATTTTTAGTTACCTTGTTTCTTTCATAGGTTTAATAAAGATTTATTTTATAGGAACTCAAAAATTAATTGCTTTTACCTTGTAATTCTAAAAAAAAACGAGTTTTCAAAATGTTTTGTTTCATATGGGTGCCAATTTGGTTGCCAATTTAAATTGTTGACATTTTTCTCCTTCACTAAATCTGCCACTAATTTCAAAAAATTCTGAAATGTGATAATAATGATAGTGACTATGATGACAATGATGATGATGATGATGATGATGATGATGATGATGATGATGATGTGATGATGATAATGATGATGATGATGATGATGATGATGATGATGATGATGATGATGATGATGATGATGATGATGATGATGATGATGATGATGATGATGATGATGATGATGATGATGATGATGATGATGATGATGATGATGATGATGATGATGATGATGATGATGATGATGATGATGATGATGATGATGATGATGATGATGATGATGATGATGATGATGATGATGATGATGATGATTATGATTATGATTATAAATGCATGTTTATTAAAAAAACATTTGAATGAAAAAATACTGTATTTAAAAAATATATCATGTTATCTCTATTAGATATGGAATATTTCTACTGGAAAATTATGTTGTGAATGTACTCCACATGATTCCTGGGTTACAGATCTCAAATTTTGCAATCATAATGACTTAATCATGACAGTTAGCAACAATTTAAAGGTTATAAACATATATTTATTTATTTAATAATTTGTAAAAATATATTTATTTTTTTTAATATACATTTATATATTTATTAATTTGTAAAAATATATAGAGTAAAAATGTCATATAGAGACTCTGTTATCCTGTTTAAAAGTTGTATTATAAAAAAGTTAAAAGAATAAATTGTTAAAAGAACTGCAAAATTACTAAACAGATTTTAAGTCTTCCCAATCTTAAAATAGCATTTATAATATATTTATATTTATTTATGGGTGATCTTTTCACTGTGCAAATAAAAAATTTATTTTGCTGTGAGGTTTCAAATAAACAAAAGCATTTAAATGAATGAGTACTCAACGTAGTTAAGGCGAATTAGTAAAACTTAAATCGAAAAAATATAAAAAAACCTCATCTTTGACAATCTATAACTTAGGCTTTAAATAAAACGAAGTAAATGAAAATTTATTTTTGTTTTATACATGTTTTTTTTTTTTGTTTATTTAGGACTTTTATAAAGTTTCTTTTTGAACATCTTTGGGATTTTAATTAATCGATTTGTTTCAAATTATTTTTATTATTTTATAAAAAAAAAATCTATAATTTATACAAAAACCTCATCTTTGGTCCTTAATTTGGACATTATTATAGATCAAAAGAGCTAGAACTTTTGCAAAGTGTTTAAACACAAATTCTTCACTTAATAAATAAAAATAAACTAAAAAAAATTATATGCTGGTGATTGTAGCTATTTTTCTTCTATTTCCTTGATGAGTATTTTTTAGATGTCTTTGTAATAATTGGAATAACACCGAGCAGAGTCCTCACTTAAAAGTAGCTTGACTATTCACAGGTCTGCAAATTTAAGGTAAAGATTCCATAATATACCTCAATTATATTATATTAAAAATTATGAAATCTATAAAATCTTGATTGGCGTATTATATTTTAAATGAATTTTAAAAGATTGTAGTCCACATTAAGACCTATTGTGTTTTCTCCTTCAAACAATCTAATTGTTTATCTTGCAGACCAGATATTTTACGGAATTATCTTTGTATTAACTACAGATTGATGCCAATTTCCTGAAAAGCGCTTTAACTACCTTGAACATGAGCAGGCTTTTTAAATGATTATAAAGTGAATAAGGCTATTTAAAAAATATTATTTTAATTTTTTTTACTTTAAATAACTAACAACCATAAATGATAACATTAAACAATGTATGAGTGGATTGAGGTTTTAGGTATTAAACAGATAAGAAGTTTATTTGAAAGAATTTGACATATTCAAAATTAAAGTTGCTTTCACCTTAACTTTATTAGAAGAAATAATAATGTTTATACATCAAAAAATAAATTAGTGTCTAAAGTAACTAATCTGCACAAAACAGATATTATCATCTGAATGATATTCCTGACACCCTTCATTATACCAGACATTGAACTTTCAGTTGCACATTTTCAACTGTCTTTTCTAGCCATAATGAGGCGAATCAATTTTCTAGCATCCATATTTTATTCTTAACAATTTTAAATGACTAAAATCTAGCAATTTCATCAGTCAATTCTGAAAGCATAAGAGTATACTCTTTGCTGCAAAAATACAGTAGATAAGTAAGGTTAAATGAACAAATCAGAAAGTTAGAAAGACTAAATAAGTAGGGTTAGTGATGTAGCGAAATATTTATCTGTAAATGCACCAGTCTAACCAAATTGTGGTGTTAAAAGACTAAACTCAGCAGTATGCAGGCTTAAAAATGGTATCAATGATCATCAGATCATCAGTATATGAAACAGTGCTAGACGAAATGTTGCATCTGATTTAGAATTTTTCTTGAAAAGATTCTAGTAGTTTTTTCACAGCAATTTTATTATTTTTCTAATTCCTTTAGTATTTTAACTTTTTTTTTTTTTTCCAATTGTCAAATTGCAACTTTAATTTAAATTGAGGATTTTTTTTTTATTCTTATAAGTTGAAAAGAATATTTTCTTGATTCTTGGAAAAGATTTTTTTTTCTTATTTGCATTTTAGAGTAGAAGACTATATAGTTTAAAATAGAATATTTTAAACTATATAGTCTTCTTTTGTATTAAAAATGTTTTATATAATTAAACTATATAATAAAGCATTTTTAATACAAAAGAATAAATCTTGTTTTGCGTTACCACACTTTAGTATTAAGTTTTCTACATTGAGCGGTAAAACGTCCCGAGTATAATTTTTCAATAAATTTAGAAAAGTTGATTTAAAAACAAAATGTTTTATAATATATCCTTATTTGATGTGATTGTAATTTTTAGCAAAACTTTAATCAAATGTTGATGCAAACTATTAAATTATTTTTAAAATCACGAGAAATAGAACTTCTAACTAAAACGCAATCTAATTTCGTAAACCACTTGCATACAGAACTACAATCGTACCATCTAATTAATTCGTAAACCACATGCACACAGAAATACAATCGTACAATTTTGACTACGTGCACATTAAAAGCAAAAAAGCTTAACTTAATTTTATCGGATTTCCTCTACTTTAAGGTAACAGCGTGCATTCGACGGTTTATTTGCAAACTTTAATTCTTAATAAATCTTTAATTTATTAAATTTCAGACTAATATTCCATTAACTTATCTCTATTTTAAACATTTTCTATCGTTTAAATACCTTTTAACTTAACATGTTTGCTAAATGAAAATTTCCAGGGATGTGGTCATATACATTTGATGAAATACGTGTTCATGTACTTAGATTTTAAAATAAAAAAACCGCAAATGATAATTACAAATATAAATAAAAATATGTTTTTCTAATTGAAATTTTTTTTAAGTCTATGTACTGAAGAGTCTTTCAGTATCTGCTAGTACTTAGGTGGGCCTAAACAGTCTATTTATATTTTTTTAATAATAGTATAGATTGGGGCATTATTACGAGGGGACGTATTCTTATTGTTGCTGATTTTAGCTTTATAGCGAATATAAAATCGTTTTTTTCTTTATTGTTTTACCGTCTTATTTCTACTGTCGTTTCCAAAAATATAGTATAGCGATGTTTCAATACGGTCCGATTAAAATTTAACTAAGAGCGTTTCTCATAAATTTAAAAAAAATCTTTATTAATACTTTTTAAAAGTGGTTCGCTAGCTCGGAAACTCGTTTGCGAGTTCGGAAACTCGTTTAGAAAGTTGAAATAATTTGCTTTGTCAGCGCTTAGCTTGACAAGTTAAAAGAATTTTAAATGAAGTTGTTAGACTGTCGTTTTGTTTATTGCATCAACACAGTCTAATTCTTTAGTTTATATTTTTACAAATTTATTGTTGACATGAATAAAGCTTTATTCTCTAATTCTCTAATAAAAATTCTCTAATAAAAAGTCTGTAGTGCAGAAAAAAAGTCTGTAGTGCGGTATTATTCAATACTAGTTACACTGGTTTGCACTCTCCCCGACGAAATTAAACTTCCCAGTTTTTTAGTTCAATTATTCCGAGAAAATTTTTAAAATGACGCTTAAAAAAACTTTGAGACGTATTATCTGTTGTAAAAAAAAAAAATTATTTTATGTTAAAAACATTTTTTTTTAGTTGTTCAATGTGAAAGGAGTGAAATTGCAAACATTGAATGTTAAAGGAAACTTTTTACAGTATTTCAAAGCAACGCCAGATCTTTGCTGTTGCGTCACTATTGACAACTTAGGATTTCTCTATATTATGCAACGATTAGAGAAGAGTTGATATTTGAACATTGTCATAATCAATCATTTCTCACCTTGGATTTCAACCCCCCCTCCTTCCTTCCCAATCTAATGGAGCAGTTTCTTCAGGCATTCCTTCCTGTTGTAAATTTTTAATAGTGTATTTATGTCAATTTCAGTGTTATACGCGTTTTGTAAAATACTCAGAGGGTATTTTCAAGCTGCTCTGCTAGTACTTTGTACGACCTTTTAGATTAATTAGTCATTCTGTTCTAATTTTATTAAATGATATTTAGTTTAAGATTTAAATTTTATTTGCGCATAAAAATTTAGTATAAAACAAACTATTCTTTTTTTCCTTTAATATATGTACTTTCTTTAATAATATGTAGAGTGTTCTTTTCTTGTAATATTTTTAATTAAAAAAATTTGTTTGTAAAGTGTGAATAAAAAAAAAAAGACTTAAATATTTTTTTAAAATACTTATATTTGTTTTTATTTTTTTTTGACATTTGAACATTGATCATGTCATGATAACTTTTTGAACAACATATGATGACGTTTTGGTCACATAAAACTCGTTGGATGGTGGAGAGTTTATTTAAAACATGCTTATAAAAATAGATTATATCACCGTCATAACGTTTCTTTGCGATATATAAATAGTAAGGACCCGTGTTTAGAGATATTATACAATTTAGATGCAGGTAAAACTGCAGGTGCAATTGCAGGTGCAGGTAAAACCCAAGCGAATAATTTTAATTTAAGATAAAATTAGGGTAATAAAATTTGTCAGAATATCCTGAAATTGGTGAAATCGCCGGCTCAATTTAAGGCCAAAAACCTATTGTACTTGAAGACCTTTGAGAAGTTTTAATTCATTTTTGAATTTATATATAAATTCCAAGTTGAGTTCAATTTTTTATTACTTACATATATATGAGTTTTATAACTCATATATATGTAATATTCTTCACCCAGAAGGATGAGGAGGGGGGTGGGGACTTTCTCATCCTTCTTCCCTCTTCGTCACAATGTGTCACAAAATCAAATCCTGTGTGGTGCATTTGTAGCAATTACTAATGTATTTAAAAAAACAGCTTGGAAATTATAATCATTTCAATTATTTTTTGATACTCTAGGTTTTCATCTGATCCTCCGTCAATAAGCATTATAACACTGGTTTTGGTTATCATTCAAATCCAACATGTCTCGAAAATGGACTATCATTCGAATCCAATGTCTCAAAATAAAAGTTGTTCATATAATTCTGCATAATCTCTTGAATGAGAATAAGCCGTTGATTTGGTAATCATTAATGATGTGCCGATGACAAAGGCCAATTGTTAATAATAGGTTTTAATGTATTTATATGAGGGGTATTATAATAATATTAAGGATGTAAAATGCATATATAACAAGTACCTATACACCTGCAGTGACTTGAACACAGCCTATGCTATTGATAACTGGCAACCAATTAGTCGACTAAACCATCGGTTAATTAATCGGCATTGGCTAATAAGCCAAACCAAACATGTGCATAGTCGCATCTTATATATACAAATTGCATACCTAATATTAATATATTACCTCTATATACATACATATGTATTTTGTTTAATGTACATTATACATATGTATAATGTACATTAAACCCTATCATTAGCCTCAATCGATCTTTGCTATCGATATACCACAAGTATTCATGCCAAATCCATCTATATCAGTAATAGGCTGATTGTGTAAGTTTATGCTATGAAGCATTGACAAAATTGTAATCAAATAATCTCAATTTTTTGCTCCATAAACATGGTCAAGAAAGCTTGTAAAATAGCTGCTTTGAAACCAATTGGAACTTTTGCTCTATCTTCTTAATTTTTAAAGTAACACCCGCTGGTCCCAAGAATGAAACTAATTCCTTTAAATTTTCAATCTAAAGAAAATTAAATTTCATTTTGTTTCTGTTAATTATTATCAGTCTGGTTTTCATGACGTCTTTGCCTGATGAGTCTTACATAAAAAGTAGTCATCTATTGTGTGAGAAATTTTTGGTGGATGATGATTGCCAACTGTTGATCGGCCAACTGTGAAGTCTTTTTTGCAAGACTTTTTTCAACTAATCAAGAAAATTAACTGTTTTGCAGCACCGTGATTGCAATCTAAATATTTGTTGATAGTAATTCCGGTTAACTTTTAATAACTAAAGAGCATCCAGTCTTAACTTTTTAATTCAGCAGCAGTCTCGTGATGATTTTTGACTTTTCTTTTTTTTCTTGGGACTCTTTCTGTCGTTTGTGGCTTTAATTCTTTTTTAATTTTTTATCTTTTAGTGGTTTTAATTCTTTCTTTATACTTTTTCTTTTTTCAAATTTTTCATTTTTGAGTTATTACATTGAGATTGCATCCCACATTTCTATCAAAGCAACAGCGTAATAAGTTCTGAATCCAGGATTCGCTGAAAATTCTTGTTTTGGTCGCAGTGTTTGTTGATCATGTGATGAAACAGAGCTCAAAACTTTAGATGTTTAAAAAGTAGAACTATTCATGAGAATGAATAGTTCTATGAATGAGAACTATTCATGAGAACTGGATTTGATGAGGTTAACAAAACTGAATAGTCTTTTAATGATGTTGCTTTTGAACTATTAATGGGCTTGAAAAAGATTATTTTGTTCCAGAGTTCCAGGACCTTTATTAGAAACAAAAAACTTTTTTGGCAAAAAAAGACAAGGTTGTTATTAATACAAAAACTATATTTGTTTTTAGGTTTCAAACAATAAAGATTTTGTAAAACATTTTGTCGCAAATTTACTCTACATTCAAACATAAAATATAAAAATATATAAAAAAGAGTTGCATTAATTTTTCGATAACTATTTTGGTTTGCTTTGCAGGTGTGCTTCAGTACATGTGCTTTGCAGTTGTGCTTCAGTACATGTGCTTTGCAGTTGTGCTTCAGTACATGTGCTTTGCAGTTGTGCTTCAGTACATGTGCTTAAAGATTTTCGCTATTTTTATTCATCAGATTCAAAATGAAAAATAATAAACAGCTTTTAATTACTAATAATTAATATCAATATATTACATTTAATAAATAATATCAATATATTACATTTAATAAATAGATATTTAATGTTTTTAAAAATTTAATATAATCATTATATTCAGTTTTTCGAGTAGTCAGGACACCAAAATGCACATGTTCGTTAGAATTTAACTTTTTTAAATAAGGGTGGAAGCCCAAGAACTAAGTGGTATTTAGCACCTAGTGACAATTTTTCCGGCATCTATTTCGAACAAACTACTTAAAAGAGTAAATAAAATGAGTATGATCCTGCACCCTATAATATTCTGCAATTAAAAACAGTAAGCAGTAACAAATTTCTTAAAAAACTTATTAAATGAAAATTTCATAAACAGTGTTTTCTAAACTTTGCAAAAATAGGTCGAGGTCGTCATTGAACACTATCAGAATGCAACATTATTTTGAAATATCATGGAGAGTGCAACTTTTACTCATACTTCTAAAATATTCTCAGATGTTTAGCAAAGACGATTTCAAATGTTATAAATATATAAATGTTGTAAAACGAGTTAGAAAACCTAAGAATACCGCGCAGGAAGATCGAAGAATTGTAGATTTCTTAAAAGCAAACCATTTTCATCGGCCAAGCAAATCATAGATGACCTTAATTTAAAAATATACAACGTAAAATATTTTAAAGACCTCCTAAATAGTGGCAGTACCCCCTTGAAATTATATGGGAATATGATCCTAGTGTAAAAGTGATAACTGAGTTTCAAATAGATGATTAGAGAGATTAAAATCATGAATAAATATTATTGCCGCGAATAAATATTATTTTAGAATTATTATTAATCAAAACGTTTGAGTTAAGTGCTAGAAATATTGGATTTTTAAATGTCATTGTTAAAGATGATATTGTCATTAAAAATGTAGAGTTTTTGTTACCCTAGTTGGACGAATAGTTAAAGGAGCAGCTCCAGTTTCAAAAATTGAGTGGAAAGTTATTTATAAGGCAATTCATATTAGGATTCCAAAAAATAAATCAATATTTGTTTTCTTCAATGTTTTTTTTAAAGCCATTTTTTTAAAAAGAATGTCCAAGTTTGTGCTCATGTCGTCAGGTTGTCAATATCAGGTGCTTATTAATATATTTTTAGATATATTGCTTATAATTTCAATAGTTAAAACTTCTTTATCGCCATTAGAAATATCTACATCATTCCTAACTAGGTACACGATATTTTTATTTACGTAGAGCTCCACAAAAAAAAAAAGTTACATCAGGTTCGTTGTTTTCATTTGTCGAAAAATTTTCTTTAGTCAAAAAATTATTTATTTCAGTAAAACTAAAGCTAAGGTATTTGAAATCGTTAATTCCTGACATGTTTGTTTTTGGAAATATTTTATTAGAAAAATTTCTTTTAAAAGCTACAGCTTTAAAAGAAATCTTTCTGATAAAATATTTAAGACAACTATAGGTGGTATAGAGTTTCTAAGATCTCTGCAAAAACATTATATCATAATTAAAAATATCTATCATAATTATTGCAATGCCTATAGTACTGCATCAAGGGTGTAGGCCAGCAAAAAGCTTTAAAAAATTAAGCGAGAGACGCAAAAGAAGAAAAATAGAAGACATATGTAGTATCACAGATTCAGAAACATTAATTTGTGCTGCTCAGGTGGTAAAAAAAGTATTGCATCAAAAATTCTAATTATTGGTTCTCCAAAACGGGCAAAAATGTATAAGGTTTTAACGTTTTACAGGAAGACAAAGCGCAGCTATCGGTTTTAAGTACACTCGTCAACAAAGCGCAGTTATCGGAATAAAATGCACTGGCCATATTTTTCGAAGCTGGTCTTTTCAGAAGACATAATGATATGGTTAGAAATTCTTCTAAAATACAATATCCTAGCTACAGTAGTCTGCAAAAGGAAAAAATGGATTGTTATCCGAATAAATAATCTTATAATATCACTAAAACTTGTATTACAGTCAAGATTTATTGGACCATACGGTTACGCAATTGTTAATGTATTTAGAATAAGTGGTGCACAATTTAAACGAAAAAGAAAGAAATTTATTCGTTTTAAGTTGTAATTAGGGTTTTGACGGATCACTAGAAGAGAAAAGATGACGTTTTAGAGCAAGATAACGAATGACAGACAACTTAAAAGATTGCAAATTATATGAAATTGGAAAACAAGATGAAGGAAATGAATTCCAAAAAACTGATGTTTGATGAGAAAAACTAGACAAATAAGAATTTTTGGAGCATTTAGGAACAGTCACAGTAAATAGATGAGACTGAACTAAATGATGAGTAACACGAGAACAAACTTTTGTAGATGGCACAAAAGACGGAAGCTCTTAGAGCAGTGCCCATTGTAGTATTTAT